TGTCAAACTGGTTTCCAAAGAGGTTATAACATTTTGTATTCCTACCAGCAGTGTGTGAGAGTTCTAGTTGCTCCTTATCCTCACTAACACTTAATATTATCCATCTTTTTAATTTGAGCCATTCTAAGAGGTATGCCATTTTATCAGACTGTTTCCATTTGCATTTCCTTAATGATTTATGACATTAATCATTTTTTCACATGCTTATTAGTCATCCATATATTTTTGATATGAAAGTGTCCATTCCAACATTTTGCAATTGTTATCAGGTTGTCTTATCATTTATTGAGTTGTAAGAGCTTTTTTATTAATATACTTGTTCTGAATATGATTCCCCAGTTGATGGCTTGCTTTTTATGTTCTTGGCAGATGTATTTAAGTGAGAGGAAAACAGGATAGGGTGGGAATGAGCTTTGTACACACATGGGATGGTAGAAGCCACCCTGCACATGCCAGGGAGATGGGTGGTTGTGGGACCTAAATGGATAAGTATGGTAGGCTCAAGATGGGGGAGTACTTTAAGGCAGGCAGGGGCATTTAGAATGGATACAGTAAGCAATTGGGAGATGTGAAATGTTCTTGAGTATGGGAATGGTATAACAAAAGTAAAAAAGTTCTTGGGATAACATGGGAAGGACCAAGAGAAAAAAACACAATAGGCAGGGAGACCAGCTGAAAAGGTGCTATGAAAATCCAGGGATGTGAGTGCCAGAATATGGGCTGTGATCCTGGCAATGAGAAGTGGGGGCATGTAGTGAATGAGGCTGTATTTTAAAACAAGAAAAGAGAAGGCATCTTTGCATATTAAATATGAGGGATAAAGGTGGAGAAGAAGCAAGAACTGCAGAAAATGAATGAAGGAAGGGATTTGAAAGATCACCTAGTTCCACTCCCAGTTTTACTGTTGAGAAACTAAGGCCCAGAGAGGAGTCAGGATTTTACTGAGATCACACAGCAAGTTAGCAAAAGAGCCAGAGGCCATCCAAATCCATGGATACAGACCTTACCATTTTCACTACATCAACCTGACCTCAGAACTCTAAAGTCTCAGGCCTCTGATCAGGGAAACATCTTAAAACAGCTTGCTGAAAATGAGAATTCACCCTCATTTTTCCTCTCTCAATCTCTCTTTGCTCCTACAAACCCACCACCGTGCTCAACTTTAAACAGAAGACTAAACAGTAAACATTTCTCTGTATTTTTTTCCTTTACTCACATCTTTTTTTCTTTTTTGACCCAACAATCCAACCATCAGCAGTTTTTAAGGATGTAAACCCACTTTCTCCTTGTTGGGAGGGATAGCATGTTAGAACTACAGCTACATCTATCCACATGAATATATCTTAGATCATAATATTTAGCAAAAAAAAAAAAGTTTAATTATGATATCATTTTGTCTAAGTTTTAAAGTCTGCAAAACAATTCCTTGTAATGATTGTGAGTTTATGAATATGTAGTAAAAGCACATAACTACTGAATTCATGAAAGTGATTATGTGGAGAGAGAAGGGGAATGAGATTGGAAAGAGATATCCAGGGGCCCCTAAGTATGTTTGTGATGTTTTATTTCTTCAAAAAGTAAGAGAAAGAAAAAAGTAAAGTTGGCCGGGCGCGGTGGCTCAAGCCTGTAATCCCAGCAATTTGGGAGGCCGAGGCGGGTGGATCACGAGGTCAAGAGATCGAGACCATCCTGGTCAACATGGTGAAACCCCGTCTCTACTAAAAATACAAAAACATTAGCTGGGCATGGCGGTGCGTGCCTGTAATCCCAGCTACTCAGGAGGCTGAGGCAGGAGAATTGCCTGAACCCAGGAGGCGGAGGTTGCGGTGAGCCGAGATCGCGCCATTGCACTCCAGCCTGGGTAACATGAGTGAAACTCCGTCTCAAAAAAAAAAAAAGAAGAAAATGTAAAGTTATAAAGATAACATGGCATAATGCAAAAATTTGTTACAGCTAGATGGTGGTATAATTATTCTAATATTCTCTATTATCAGTATGTTTCAAATGCTTTACACCTCTTTTAAAATTCAAAAGTGAAGCATCATTTACTATTGTCAGCATTCACCCTTGATGTCCTGTTATTATCCTGATGATTCACATTTATCGAAAAGGTTAAAAGGAAAGTTACAAGCACCAGTGATCAACAGAGGCAAATGTATCTGTTTAAGGGCGTAAATCGGCCAAATTTCTTCAAACAAGTATTGAAAATAAGGGAGAAATACTAGAAGCTTTTCAATCAACAAACTGTAACATGACTTTCTCTGTGATCCAAAGTGAGCAACTATAACAATGGCAAGAAAAAACTCATAGATAGGGTGAGGAGGTCAGAGGTGATAGGAACTTATCAGAACCTATCCTCTCACCATGTGCAATCAGGAGACTTCTGTGAGCAATGGAGAGCCATCCCAGGGAACAGATGCTGCAGGCAGAGTCCACATGTAAGAATACAGCTGCCTGGAGTAGTCAGAGTCAACATTCATTATTGCATTACTCCATGCAAACCAGCCTGCCAGCTGTCCAGTACTCAATGCTATCAAGAGCCTTCTCTTTTCCTGCATCCCTTAGCCTTGAGGACTCACTGTTCTCCACTGTTAACTCCCACTTAAATAGACACAAAGCAGAAGCAGCCAGCCCGGGAAACATGAGTATGGACTTCTCCAGGCCAGTAAGGAATTAGGAGGAGGTGATGTGGGAGTGGTCCATATTAACTAACGATAAAACAGCCCATAGTTACTGAAGGGTTATCAAAAGCCAGACCCTGTGAGATGTCCATGAGATGAGTTATTCAATTTAATGTTCACAAAAGTTCCATGGAATGAGTACCACCATTAGATGCAGTTTGTAGCCAGGAAAACTGAGGTTCTAAAAACATGAGAGACTTACTCACGGTCATACAACTATTAAGTTGCTCCAGGATGGATCTCATACTTTGTTCCTAAAAAAGGAATGAAGTATTTCTAGGGTAAATGGGGCAATCTGGAATGGGAATATCCAGATCAACTGGACTTGGACCTACAACACCCATATCAACCTCACTAGAAAAGGGCCTGGCACATCTGGGGAAGAATATGGAGAAATGGCATGAAAAGTCTCAAGGGAGATACACAGCAGGCCGACTGTTGGTGAAAAGAAGAATCTGGAGTGCCAGCTAGTAATTAATGGCAAAAAGAAGGTGAAAAAATAAAGTAATTGAATGATAGTGTTATTAAGATTTTGACCTTTGTCAATATTTTGTTTGTTTATTTGAGCTGCGTAATTGTTCTACAGGAAATCTTTGGTTGAAGGACAGATGTCAAATAAAAGTAGAGCCACTCCAGGTAGGGATGAGAGGGAACAGGAGCAGAGCTCCCTGAGACACCTCTACACAGCAGTTTACAACCCTAAAATTGTATGGATGACCAAATGGCAGCCCAGAGAGAGCGGGATATACTAGGGTGGTCAAAATGGAATTAACAATGGTTAATTTTATTGTGCTTAACTGTGCACCAGGCTGTTTCACATGTAGATTTAATCCCCACCACAACTCTATGAAGAAGGCACAATCATTTCATAAAAGCTGCAGATAAGGAAACTAAAACACACAGAAGTTAAATAAGTTGTCAAGGCGAGTAAAAGAACCAAGATCAAATCCAGACACTTTGGCCTCAAAGACCAGGTGAGTAGCCAAGATGACACCTGCCTAACTAGAGCTAGATGGAGCCAGATCTAGAACCCCAATCCCTGACTTCCAGACCAGTGGTCCTGTATGTCTCCCTCCATGCTATTTCTGCTCCTATGTGGCACAATGACAATAGGACTTAGGGGGAGGTACTGAAAAGTGTTTACATCTGAGAAATCTGGCAATGCGAAATGGTTCATAGCTAAAGTCGTGCCTTTTGTGCCAAGGGCATCGTTTGGGGTTTGTTTTGCTTCTAGTTTTAGGCCCAGGGGCTGCCTTTTTCTGGGAGGCACTCCCTGCTGTAGGTGCCAAGGTGCCTAGGCCAAGACTTCAAGCAGAGGAAGCAGAATATGGTTGCCTGGTTCACTTTAAGGACCTCGAGTGCCTTCTACAAGCCCAAATCATAAGACTACAGAAGAAAGTTGTCTGTCAGAGAGTAGAAAGCCCTTCGCTAGGGGATGCCCCTTGGCTCCTCCTCCCAGGAACCATGGCGGCGCTCCAGGAAGACATAGAGTTCTAACAAGGGTTAGGAATGATTCCTTGGAGCAATGTTCCCCTACCTCCCAAGCAAGCCTCCCTCCCCCAGTGTATCCCCACATTTCCCCAAAGCCACCATTCTTCTTGATAAACACCACACAAGAGAACACAAGGCCCTACCTTGATTCTCTTCCTAAAAAAAGCAAGAAGGTTGTTTCAGGGAGACCAACCAGCCTGGTTGGCCTGGAACTGACATATCCCAGCAAATTCCTCAGTCCCACACAAACCAGAATGGCTGGTCACCCTAAGTCACTCTCCCATGACTGGACAATTTCTTAGAGCAATAACTCTCCGTTGCCTCAACTTGATACACACTCACACACATGAACACACACAAATCACACTGTAAGAGATGGAGGCAGGAAACTGCCTGTTTTTCTCCTGTAACAGCAACCCTGACAAAAATAGGCTTGAATGACTAAGGCCAAGTTTATGACCACCTATAGGCCACAGAGGAACTCACAGCCTGAACTTTCTTCCTGTCCTGGTGAATCTCGGGAAAAAAGGAAGGAAGGGCTTAGTCACACCCTGGGAGTGGCAGCCAGGAGCAGTGCTGCTCAGCTCCTGACAGAATGAGCTCAAAGCCTCTTTCTTCAGGAAAAAATAGATGTTTCCAGGCTTTACTCCCTTTTTACAGAGCCAGCATGACAAACACTTACCCAGGGAGGAAGGAAAGGCAGCGAGAAAGCAGAGCCATCTCCCCATCTTTGGGAGAAAAGTTTCCCCAACCCAGCAGGTCCCTGAACCTCCACTGGACCATCCACCTCGGCCAAGCCACATGCCAAGGGCCCCCTGGGAAACTCACCTGGGCCCCAGGTCAGACTCCGCTCCCCGGGGATGCAGAAGCAGCCACCCATGTGTGTACCATCCTACCCTGGCCGAGGCCCTTGGGAACACCAGCCAGAAAAGTGCTGCAAGGGACAGCCTCCCAACGGTGTCCCTCCTCCCGCCTCCTCCCTGGCACACGAGGGACCGAGGCTTGCTCAATGCACAATGCAGCCTTTGATATCCCGGCTACAGCAGGAGGCCCAGGGAGTGTGGGAGGGGCAGCCAAGCCCAGCCTGCAGGCCCACAGCTCTTGCACTGTCAGGCCTGGGGAACAGGGCTCCTCCCTGCCTCTCAGCAGATCGCTTCTTGCCTATCAGCCTGCAGCACATTCCTCGCATTCTAGGATTGAGATACACAGTTTGCTTCTTGTGGGGGCAGCCAGGGCGGGGGAGGAGGGCAGAGAACATCCCAGAGATCAAGACTGCTGTTCTTGCTCCCTCCCTGACTGACTTGGCCCACATGACTGGCCTGCTACCCCTTTAAAGTGATCTCCAGCCAGCCTCTCTCTGCAAATGCCTCCCTTGGCTCTCTGATAAAGTTAGAGCTGTGGGTGCAGCATTTCACCACAATCTAGCAGCATCGATGAGCCAGCTCCTCACTGGTGAACACGCAAAGCCCCAGCTGCTGGTATGCAGGACACAGGATGGGGACTATAGTTTATAATGTGTCATATATTTCAACATAGAAGAGAGGATTTTGAATGTTCTTACCACAAAAAAAAAAAATGATGTTTGAGATAATGGATATGCTAATTACTTTTATTTGATCATTACACGATATATAGATATATTGAAACAACACTCTCTAGCCCATAAATATGTACAATTATTATGTGTCAATTAAAAAAAGAACTAAAAAAAGAAATACAGCAAGACTACAGATAGGCATGCAAAACCTGTCCCACCAGACTAATCTCATTCCTGTTTCACATAGGCAGTGGAGCAGGAGAATGCAGTTGACACAGTGTGGCTAAATTTCAGAAAACCTCTCGAGACCTAGCAAAGGCGATGGAGAAAATATGGTTGAATGCCAGCAAGGATGGACGAAAGCATGACTGCTCTAACCACCAAGCTCAAAGAGCACTGCTCACCCAGTGTTTTCTTCAAGCCTGGAACAAAGTGGTAAGAGGATCCTGGTGAGAGGCCCAAAGAAGAAGAGGTGTGAGCCAAGAGCAGGTGGGGTCCTGCTGGGCCTGCGTTGCAGGCTATTTAGAGGCTGAACTTGAGGTCAGTATCACCAGCATTTTAAGGAGAGCAGTGGCCTGGTCAAGTTTATATTCTGAGAGGAGCACTTGTATGACCAGGCGAAGAATGGCTTAGGGGTCAGTCCCACTGAAGAAGTCAGGAGTATCCACTGCACGCACCAGCGTAGACCCAGAGGAAAGGGTCTCAAGCCTGTCTCTGAAACTTTGCTGACCATCTCTGTGCTGACTCAATCTGAGTCTTCAGCAAGCAGCCACTTAAAACTGGTATGTATGGTTACTGAATGTTTACTGTGGGTCAGGCTCTCACTATACATTATTTCATTTAAATCCCACAACAGCCCCATTATGTAGGCATCATTTCTACTTTGTAAGTGAGGAAACAGATAAAGAGGAGTGTATAACTTGTCCAACTCCCTCCCTTCTCCCACCATTTATGAATGTTCAAGACTGAGCCAGGTCTAGCTGATTCCACAGCCCAGAAGGATCACATTTCTAATACATGGGATACATTGCATGTTTTCCCATGACTACTAGGACACACAGTGAGGAAGGCCTAGGTAGGACTAAAATCGCTGGAGCCAGCTAACCATTTATGCAAATCCCAGGAGATGAGAGCTGAGGCGGGGACTAGAGTACAGGAGGGATGGGGTCTCTCTGATCACATTGTCACCAAAGAGGATGTTTTCTCTGTGCAGATTTATTTAAAGTATCTACTTCCCATATGGTCTCTCATGTGTTTCCCTTACCGAAGCACAGTGTTTTTGAGTACGAGTTAGGATGTTTTCTTGGGCCCCCAATGAAAGGAGAAGGATTTCTTTAGAAAGCAGTCACTTAAAACTAGGATGTACATGAAAATCAGACAATGATGAGAAGCCCCAGGCTGTAACTTACACAGGCTGACAAATGTGCAGACTTATCATTGCTCCTTGACTGGTCTGCACACCACTCTTACACAGGTACAACAATCAGACTATAAATGATCAAAACCAACTATTGGACGGATCCCAGGCCATCTGTCATAGATGACACCCTAGACAGTTGGCCAAGACTCACACTGCAGCAAGTCGTAAATGAATAGTCCATTCTGGATGAAGTCATTGCTTTCCTTGAGATGTAAGAAACTAGTGCTGCTCTGCTCCTGGGTAGCCTGATGAATTTATTAGGGCAAAGAGATGACCAGGCAGGAGCAAAGGCCCTGAAGTAGGAACTTGCTTAGCATGTTAAAGGAGGTGTGGCTGAAGGCTAGTGAGGCAGGGGAAGGCACAGAGATGAAGTCAGAGAAAGCAGCAGAAGAAAGCACTGATACATGGGACACATTGTGTGTTCTCCCATGACTACTAGGACATACAATGAAGAAGGCCTAGGAAGGATTGAAATCTCTGGAGCCAGCTAACCATTCATGCAAAGCTCAGGAGATGAGAGCTGAGGCGGGGAGTGGGGTGCAGGAGGGATGAGTCTCTCTGATCATGTTGCCACCAGAGATGATACAGTGTAAGGCCTTGGAGGTCATCTAAGGACTCCAGCTTTTATTCTGAATAAGGTAAGAGCCAATGAAGTACACTAAAAAGAAGAGTAACATGCCTGAGTTATGGTTTCAAAGGGTTAGTGTGGCTGCCCCACGGAAAATAGGCTATAGATGGAACTCCAGATATGCAGCAATTGTAACATCCAACAGGGAGATGATGATGTCTTGAACCAAAGTGATATTGGTAGAGGTGATGAAAAGGGCTTAGGTATTAGACATATTTTGAAATAACGGTGTATTAGTCAAGGTACTCCAGAGAAACAGGACCGATAAAAGGTGATACAGATAGAGAAAGGGAGAGAAAAAAAATTAACTAATTGGCTTCTGTAACTGTGAGGGTTGGCAAATCTGAAATCCATAGGGCAGGCCAGCAGACTGGAAACTCAAGTAAGAGTTGCTATTGCAGTCTTTAGTCCAAATTCCACAGAGCAGCAGACTAGAAACACATACAAGTTTCCCATGTTGCAGTCAAGAATTCTTGAGAAGAATTTCATATTTCTCAGGAATCTTCATGTGTTGATACAACATTGAATGTATGAGAGGGGGAAAAAATCTACTCTAGAGTGATTCTAACATTTTTACCTGTAAAACTGAAATAATTTAATATTTATTGAAATGTTAAATTCTAGGATAAAAGAAGCTTTGTGAATTGAAACCAGAAGTTTGGCTTTTTATTATGTGTGATATTTAATATTTTAATGTGTGATATTTAGTATATCCAAGCAAATATAGGCAAAGCAATCTGGAGTTCAGGCAGAAGTTAAAACCTGAAGGTAAGTATTTGGGAGTTGTCACTGTGTAGAGGGTATGTAAAGTTAAAAGACCAAATAAGATCTCCTAAGGGAGAAAGTGGAGGATAGAATACAGAGGATATATCAAGAATGAGCCCTACAAGCTTACCAATTTTTATATGAATGAAAAAGGGGTACAAAACCAGCAAAAGAGAGAGAGACCGGCCAGTGAGAGGATGTGCACCAAGGGCATAAGATGCTACAGAATTCAAGTAAAGAAAGTATTTCAAGAGCAGAAGGTGATTATGTCAAATGCTGCTCATAAGTAAGATGCAGACAGAGAACTTACCACTGCACATCTTGGAGCAGTGGACATAAGGCTAGATTGGGCAAGCCTCAAGGGTATATGGTTAAAAAAAAAGTGGAGCTCCAACCCACCTTCAACTCACCGCCATCACTGTCATTGCCATCATTATGGAATACCTTTTGTTTCCTTGATATTTGCTTGGTGTTCAGGGGTTACAAACTCATATGTCTGTAAGAGTCAGGCAGCTGATGGAAATGAGTGAGCTGTCCAGAAGACAAGTGGCAGCTAATCCCACTGAAACTGCCTGATGGATGCTTTCTGCCTGCTGCAAAAACAAAACCAGTTCACTGAGACTGGGGTATTGCAGCAAAGAAAACCTTTGATTAACGTGAGGCCAGCCATGCAGAAGAACCCAGGTTATCACTCCAGTCAATCTCCCCAAAGACTCAGAGTTTAGGGTTAAGAGTTTTTCAAAGATAGTTTGGTGGGCAGGGGGCAAGGGAGTGGGTGCTGCTGATTGGTTGGAGATGCAATTCATAGGAATGTGGAAAATGGTCCTCATGCACTGAGTTCATTTCTAGATGGGAAACACAGGACAGGTGAAGTCATGAGTCATGAATCTGGATGGGGTCACTCAGTTGTCAGAATGTAAGAGACTGAAAGATATATCAAAAGACCAATTTTATGTTCTACAATAGTGTTTTACCTACAGAAGCAGCTGGGGGAGTCACAAATCTTGTGGCTTCTGACCACATGACGCCTGAGCAATAAGGGATCATAGGAACTATATCTACATTTTAGCAGATTTCAGGTCCCTCCCATAATCTTAATCTTATGGTTTTTCATTAGTCCTTCCAAAGGCAGATTCAGCCCCCAAACAATGAGGGAATTCTTTTGGGGGGGGGGACTATTATCATCCTTGCTTCAAAGTTAAACTATAAACTAAATTTCTCCTATGGTTAGATTGACCTATACCTAGGGATGTGGAAAGACAGCCAGCCTGTGAGTCTAGAAGCAAGGTGAAATCAGTCATATTAAACTTCTCTCACTGCCATAATCTTTGCAAAGACAGTTTCACTGGTGTCAAGGTTGGGGCAACAACAGGGAGGGTGTACCTGTGGGGCATGGAGGGCGCTGCTCTGTCTAAGAAGAAGCCCCTGCTAGGCTTTGGGCAAGGAGGAACATGGTGCAAGACAGGCTGTGTAACCAGACATTCTTATTTGTCATGAAAACCAGAAATCCAGATTTGTAGCTGAAGCTTCCTAACGTTTAAATGTTCATAAGCTATGGGAGGCTAAGGCAGGAGTCCAAGACCAGCCTGGGCAACATATAAATGCCCTTTCTGTAAGAAAATGTTAAAAATAAATAAATAAATGTTTATAAATTAACTCAAAAAATCTTTCAAAGCACTATA